ATAGGCAGAAGACGGACTTACAAGCTTTCTATGGTGATGTTTTTCGCTATTCCTTTCTCTCCCCCTCCAGTGGGCAGTTTATTTTAAGGGTCATAAAATTTCCTAAGTATTGGGAGCAGGAATTCCACTCCAGGGAGCGTACTGAGGAAAAACTCTCCCAAAGGAAAAAGAAACATGTATGTGACAGTTTCAGTCAAATCATTTACAATACTGATGAAAATCTGGAGGCAAATGAGACATTGAGCAAGAGGGGCAAGTTCAGTAAATGAAGGCATTTGCACACATGAAGTGTTAAGTAGGCATTAAAAATGGTTACCATGAAGGCAAGGTGATTAGGTGGAAATGCTCATGATACAGTGTAAAGTGAAAAGAAATAGAAAACCAATGCAGCATTGGGTATGCCACGGTACAGCTATGGCTGAGAGTGAAAACAGAAAAAGCTTGGTTCATACCTTTTGTGGACCTTTCTTTTTGCAGTCACCAAAATACTAGTTGTGTAATTCAGCTAACTAGTTATAGCTTCAAGGAGCCCTGGTAGCCTAGTGGGTAACAAGTTAGGCTCATAACTGCAAGGCCAGAAGTTCAAATCCACCAGTTAGTTGCTCCATGGGACAAAGATGACGCTTTCTACTTCCACAAAGATTTACAGCTTTGGAAACCCTACACAGGGTCTCTACGAGTTGGAACTGACTCAATGGCACACCACCACCACCATCCTTGGTTTCATGCTTGGTGCATGACTGCATTTCAGGACAGACCCCTGGCTCCAAAAGAACCCTCTTCCATGAAAACATTTGGGCAAAAGTAATCTGCTGTTTCCATGATTCCAACATGATCTGTGGGCTTCTCTCTGGTTCTAGCATTCTCTGAGATCAAGCTCCATCTTCTGGGACTGCTCACCTACCTCTCTTAGCCTTCAGCTAGGCCAGGGAACCCACGGGGTCAGGGGTGGAGGCGCTTAACCTACCTGATGCTTGCGATTTTCCACATTCATCGTGCGTGGCCTATAGGTGATCTCGTAGGGTTTGTTCTGCTGATGGGCCTCCAGGGTGATGAACTCAGGGCCCTCCCAATGCTCTCCCTCGAAGATGGGGTGCAGATTCCAGGTCTGGTTGGTGCGGTTGGAAAGCAGGATGGTCTGTGTGTGCTTGGAGCGCACCTGGCAGGCAAAGTTCACCACCTGGAAAAAAGCAGGCACCTCACCTTCTATGGCATTTCTCCCTGGTCTCCCTTCAGGGGCTGCGGAGGAATTCTTCCCATCAGGAGCACCTGATAACTTTCTATTTCTTTCACTCACTCAATAAATACTTACTGGGAATTTTCTATGTGCCAGGTACCGATCATCGTTGAAGGATGAAGACCAAGAAGGATGAAATCATGAGACACCTGTCAGAAGATCATCCCAACCAGAGGAAACAGCCATCGCAAATATCCTGAATTCTCCCAAATGGCAAGGAACCAGTGTGGAAGATGTGAAGTGAGTATGCAGAAGAGAGACAAAAAGAAGCCATCTGAAGACTAACTCCGGGAGGTGCGAAGGAGCAGCCAGTGAGAAAAGAGGAAAACCAGGAGAGGGTGGGACCTTGGAAGCCAAGTGAGGAGGATTTCAAGGAAAAGGGACTGTTCCATGGTGTTAAAAGCTACTGAGAGTCCAAGTACGATGGGGAGTGAGAACTGAGCATTGGATTTAGCAATATGGACAGTTTGGTACTGATGTAAGGATAGTCAGATGAGCAAAACAGAGTTCTGAAATAGACTCACACATATAATATATAATCAATCAACCCCTTAAAAAGTCCCAAAAGCAATCAGCCACCACTTGTCTGCTAGTTTGTCACACTGTGGTTGCTGTGATTCTGGAAGCTATGCCAACAGCATTTTTAATGCCAGTGGAGTCAGCCATGAAAGACAGGTTTCACTTGAGCTTCCAGACTAAGACTGACTAGGAAGGAGAGACAGACTACTTCTGAATGTTACTCACTGAAAACCTAGTGAAAGCAATGGAACACTGTCAGCACTAGAATACTGAACACTGAAGCATGATGAATGGCACCAGAATATTGTCAGATATAGTGCCAGGAAATGAGCTTCTCAACATATGACAGGGAAAGAGCTCCTTCTCAGAGTAGAGTTACTGTGATGACGTGAAAGCAGTAAAGCTTTTGGACCTTCTTTCATTGACGGGGCACAACTCAAAATGAGGAGAAACAGCAGTAAACATCCATTAATAATCTGAACATGGACTGTATTAAGTATGAAGCTAGGAAAATTGGAAGTTGTCAAAAATGAAATGGAACACATAAACATTGATACCCTAGGCAGTAGTGAGCTGAAATGGACTGGTATTGGCCATTTTGAATCTGACAATCACCTGGTTTACTATGTCAGGAATGACAAGTTGAAGAGGAAGATAGTCGCATCCAGCATCAAAAGGAACATTTCAAGATCTATCTTGAAGTACAACACTGTTTGTGATAGGATAATATCCGTAGTGGTTACGAATCGGGCTGCGAACCTTAAGGTCAGCGGTTCGAAACTACCAGCCACTCCGCGGGAGAAAGATGAGGCTTTCTACTCCCATAAGGATTTACACCCTCGGAAACCCTGTACAGGGTTGCTATGGGTCGGAACCGACTCGACGGCACTTAACAACAACAACAATATCCATATACCTAAAAGGAACACCAGTTAATACAATTATTATTCAAATTTACACACCACTCAAGCCAGTGATGACGAAATTGAAGAATTCTACCATCTTCTTCAGCCTGAAATTGATCAACATGTAATCAAAATGTATAGGTAATTACTGGCGATTGGAATGCAAAGGCTGGAAACAAAGAGGAATGATGAGTAGGTGGAAAAAACGGCCTTGGTGATAGAAATGATGCTGGAGATCACATGATAGAATTTTGCAAGGCCAATGATTTCTTCACTGTAAGTACTTTGTTTTGTTTTTTAAATGTTTTTTGTGAATGATGTGATAGTTTACATGAGAGAACATTAGTTTTACATTCATCCTACTGTATATTGTTTCACTGCCATGGTTACAATCCCCTTCATGCATCGTCAACCAATCAAAGGGTATACCCTACAAGCCTGCCCCCCGGTTGTCAGCACACAGCCCCTCTCCCTCTCTGGGTCTAAAGTCCCCAGCCACTACATCTCTCCACATCATCGTCTCTGTCTCCATCTCTGGTGTCACTGCTTCTTTGGGTTGGGTCCCGCTCTCCGCTCTTCTCCTTTGATGGTTCCAGGGACCTCCACTCTTAGACTGAAAAGTTAATCACTCCCCTCCTTGCTACAAAATGTCTACCTTTACATTTCCAACCCTCACAATCAGTCCTGATAACAATTATTCACTATTGCATCACAAGAGACCTATCTGCATTTCCTATCATCAGCCCCACCTAGACAGATTGGATACTACTCCTTCCTCCACGCCCTCTGGATCTAGGTTCCCTCTTGAAAGCTTGTAAGCCAGTCACGTCTTGCCTTTGTAGCCCCCCTGTTTTGGGTAGCCAATGTCCAAGTTGCCCATCCCTGTCTACTCCGTGTGTATGGAGGGGGTGGGAATGATCCTCGCTGTAAAGATTTGTTCCCTCTTTTGAGCTACTGCATCCATCGGTGTAGGTCAAGTTCATCAAATTGTATCAGATTACTCTTTTTTCATCTTCTAGTTGAGCTCTGATCATCCAGTCATTGAAGCCAGGACAAGTGGGTATTATCTGTAAGTGTAGGTGTTATTGTGCATATGCCCTATCTTCTTATCAGCTGGATGCTTCACTCTCCACTCTAGTCCTCTGTGGCTATGTCACTGACTCTGGGCCCAAGAGTCCCCAGGTCTTGCCACACTGCTGGCCAACCAGGTCTGCACCTGGGTTTACAGGAGAGTCTATTGAACATTGTAAGGCTTAGCTTGCAGCTTCATTACCGTTTTTCCTTCACTTCCCCTTATCGGTGATGAATGTGGTCACCAATCAGAGCGTGTATTCCCATTGAGTCTTAGTCTTGGAAGGGGGTTTGCTCTCAGGGGACTTGCCTTGATGTCTCCTGGGCAAGCAACTTGCTTGTTCTTGTAGTAATCAGTTGGTCTGCCTATATTGTTTTGTATTTTTTCCTGTAGGTCTTTCTTTCAAAAGTATCTTCTGTTCTTCTAGCCATTCCAGGCTGGTCAGCTTGTCCTTTCAAGTGGAAATTTCCCACCTCTGAAGATTCTGGATGCTGTTCAGGATTCCACCTATAGTCTTATGTAATGGAGAGGCTCCACAGGAAGCCTCCTTCACTGGGCATGTTGTAGCCCCATTTTAGGTATTCCAATCAGTTACAGGCAGAAGACGGACTTACAAGCTTTCTATGGTGATATTTCTGGCTATTCCTTTCTCTCCCCCTCGAGTGTCTATTTTATAGTGGCATGCCAGGGAAACCAAGATTCAAAAGACAACCAAGCATCTTAACATCATTTTCCCCCTTTTTCCCATTCCAACCATGTCTCAATCCCTGTATCCCAGAGCCCTGTTGTTTCCAAGGCTGTGCATACATCATTATTTACCTCTGTCCCACTTAGCCCATGCACACCTGCCTAATTGTTATCCCGTCCACTTTGTTCTTCCATTCCCCTCCCACTTCTTATATATTGCCCCCCTGCCTTGTGCTCCACCTTCCCCTCCCTCCCCTCACCCCACTGCCCACATCCTGGCAACCAGCAAAGAATCGCTCCCCTTTTAGTGTGGGCTCTTTTTCTTAGTCTTTTATAGTAGTGGTCCTGTGTAAGTACTTTTTTAAAGCAACATAAAAGACGACTATACACTTGGACCTCACCAGATGGAATAGACAGAAATCAAATTGACTATATCTGGGGAAAGAAAGAGTGGAAAAGCTCTATATCAGCCAAAAAAAGACTAAGGGCAGATTGTAGAACAGACCATCAGTTGCTCATATGCAAGTTCAGACTGAAGCTGAAGAAAATTAAAACAAGCCCATGAGAACCAAAATATGACCATGAACATATCCCACCTGAATTTAGAGATCATCTGAAGAACAGATTTGGTGCATTAGACACTAATGACCAAAGACCAGAGGAGCTGTGGGATGACACCAAGAACAGCCTACAGAAAGAAAGTAAAAGGTCATTAAGAAGACAAGAAAGAAGGAAAAGACCAAAATGCATGTCACAAGACACTCTGAAACTTGTTCTGCAGCATAGAGATGTTAAAGCAAATGGGAAAAATGAGAAAGTAAAAGAATTGACCAGAAAACTTCAAAGGGCAGTTTGAGAAGACAAAGTCAAATATTATAATTACATGTGCAAAGACCTAGCATTAAAAACTAAGAGGGAAGAACATGTTCAGCATTTCTCAAGCTGGAAGAACAGAAGAAAAAATTCAAGCCTCAACTTCAATATTGAAGGACTCTGTATTTAATGACAAGGAGCTCTAGTAGCATAGTGGTTACGAATCGGGCTGCAAGCCGCAAGGTCAGCAGTTCAAAACTACCAGCTGTTCTGCGGGAGAAAGATGAGGCTTTCTGCTCCTGTAAAGATTTACAGCCTTGGAAACCCTGTACAGGGTCGCTATGAGTCAGAACTGACTCCACGGCACATAACAACAACAACAAATTTAATGATGCAGAAATGTTTAATGATGCAGAAAACATCAAAAGAAGATGGAAGGAATATAGAGAGTCACTGTACCAAAAAGAAATGGTTAATGTTCAACTATTTGAAGTGATAGCATATGATCAAAAGCCAATGATACTGAAGGAATAAGCCCAAGGTGCACTGAAGGGCATTGGCAAAGTACATGGCTCTGGGAATTGATGGAATATAAATTGAAATATTTTGATAAACTGATGCAACACTGGAGGCACTCACTCTTCTATGCCAAGAAATTTGGAAGATAGCTACCTGGTCAACTGATTGTAAGAGATCCATATTTATTCCCATTCCAAACAGAGGTAACTCGTTGGAATGCAGAAACCATAGGACGGTATCATTATATTGTATGGAAGTAAAGTTTTGCTAAAGATAATTCAAATATGGCTGCAACAATACACTGATAAGGAATTGCAAGAGGTTCAGGCTGGATTCAGACAGGGATTTGGAAGGAGGGATATAATGACTGATGTCAGACAGATCTTGGCTGAAAGCAGAGAATACCAGAAAGATGTCTATCTGTGATTTATTGACTATTTATTGGCTTTTGATTGTGTGGATGATAACAAGCTATGGACAACATTGTGGAGAATTAATATTCCGGAACACTTAATTGTACTCAAGAGGAACCAGCACATAGAAAAAAAAAAGGCAGTTGTTCAAAAAGAACAAGGGGATACTGAATGGTTTAAAATCAGGAAAGGTGTGCACCATGATTGTAATTTTTCACTATATTTACTTATTCAACCTGTATGCTGAGCAAATAATCCGAGAAGCTGGGTTATATGAAGAAGAATGTGTCATCAGAACTGGAGGAAGACTCATTAACAACCTGTAATATGCAGATGATACAACTTTGCTTGCTGAAAGCCAATACGACTTAAAATACTTACTAATGAAGATCAAAGACCAGAGCCTCATTGTAAAGAAAACAAAAATCCTGCCAACTGGACCAATAAATAACATCAAGATAAATGGAGAAAAGACTGAATTTGTCAAAGACTTCATTTTGCTCAGATCAACCATCAACACTCATGGAAGCAGCAGTCAAGAAATCAAATGACATATTACATTAGGCAAATCTGCTGCACAAGACCTCTTTAAAGCGTTGAAGAGCAAAATTACCAGTTTGAGGACTAAGGTACACCTGACCCAAGCCATGGTATTTCCAGTAGACACATATGCATGTGAAAGTTGGTCTATGAATAAGGAAGAACGTAGAAAAATTGATGCATTTGAGTTATGGTATTGGAGGAGAATATTAAGAATATCATGGATTGCCAGAAAAACAAACAAGTCTGTGTTGGAAGAAGTACAGTCAGAATGCTCCTTAGAAGCCAGGAATTGACAGACTTTGTCTCTCATACTTTGGACAATGTTATCAGGTGGGACCAATCCCTGGAGAAGGACACATCATGCTTGGTAAAGTGGAGGGTCAGCAAAAAAGGGAAAGACCCCAATAAGATAGATTGGCACAGTGGTAGCAGCAATGAGCTCAAGCATAGCAAAGATTGTAAGGCTGGCACAGGAATGAGCAGTGTTTCTTTCTGTGGTGCATGGGGTTACTGAATTGGCACTCGCTCCGTGGCACTTAACAACAAAAGGCAATCCGGGGAGAAGGATAATCTTTTCAAGAAATGTTTCTCAAATAATTGGATATCCATATGCTAACTCAAAAAATTAACTCAATTAGATTAAAGATCTAAATATAAAGCTTATATCCAGAATAAGTAAAGAGCTCTCAAAATTCAATAATAAGAAACCAAACGGCTTCAAATACAAATGTTGCTGTTGTTGTTAAGAGCCATTGATTCAGTTCTGACACATATTGACCCTGTATAGGGTTTCCAAGGAGTGGCTGGTGAGCTTCAACAGCTGATTCAAACTGGGCTTGCAGTCCAGCACACTAACCACAGGAGCAGAAAACCTCATCTTTCTACCGTGGAACAGCTGGTAGTTTCGAACTGCTGACTTTGAGGTTAGCAGCCCGACTTATAACCACTACGCTAGCATTGCTCATTCATCCTTAGGGAAATGTAAATTAAAACTACAATGATGTACGAATTACACATCTACTAGAATGAGTAAGACTGAAAAACTGACCATGCTAAGTACTGGTGAGGATGTGGAGCAATTGGGACTCTCATATATTGCTGCTGGTGGGAATGTAAAAATGAAACAACTACGGAAGCCAGTTTGGCAGTTTCTTAAAACAAGACTTAGCATTCCACTCATAGGCATTTACCCAAGAGAAATGAACACATATGACCATACAGAGACGTGTACAGGCATGTTCACAACACATTGTATGCATCTACTGAGGTTATGTTCCTTAAACAACGATATTATAGAAATAGCCATCAGCTATCAGGTTCCCCTGAGCAATGCTGCCAGGTAACACAGCTGACAGCCCACTCTCAGGTGCTAGGAGCAAAAATAGCAGAGTGTTAACCCATAGTCATATTTTCTCCCCACAGAGAGAAAGAAAGGTGTTAACTCCTTACTCACAGAGCTTAGAACAGGGAATTCAATCTAGTCAGGGAAGTCAATAAAGCCTTCCTTGAGAACAGGAATTAAGTAAATGAAGAAAGAATATTCCAGCAGTAGGCATAGCATGTACAAAGGCACTGTGGTAGGAAGGATCAGCTTGAATGCTGGATCTGGAAATATTGGACAGTTTGGACAGAGTTACTTGTTCCTAGCAGGTCCAGTTGTGTTCTAGGAAGGAGAGGGCTTGCTGGGCTCACTCTAGCTATTGGCCTGTCCCTGGACAGCCCTTCCTAACCTCTTTTACTGCAGGTGGTCCCACGCAGATTCCAGACAAGGTGAGGGTCAGAGGATTGCCTCCCTGGATGAAGCAGAGCATGTTTTTATAGAGACACTCCTTTCCCACCTCCGTGGGATGGTAGGTCACTTCGAAAGAAACTTCCATGCCTGCAGTAATGTAGCCTTCTTCCGGGGTGATGGAGAAATGAGGCTCAAATTTTCTGGTATCCCATTTAAACCTTTGCCAAGACAAAAGAAGACAAGGCAGGCCAAGTAGAGGTAGGTAAGGTGTGTGGACCAACATCACTCCCTGTGTAAGATGATTCAGCTCCCTCTCAGAAATGTGCCATGGCTGACAGGTGGCTGCATCCAACCTATCACCACGAGGAGTGAAATCCCACGAGTGACACACTGGTGAACATACACATGAACATGTGCACCCAGGGTCACAGAGTTTAGTAAAACAGGAGCTCTGCTCCCTGCACTGAGGACAGATGCAAGCGAGGGAGATCTCTCTTCATCTGAAGAGTCGCGCCTGTTCTTTGTGATGGCCCTGTCTGCTTCTCGGGTCTGGTGCTTGGTCTATCAGGGGACAAAGGTGGACAGTGAGGCCTGGGTGGTGTGTGGGTCCCAGTCTGTGTGGCCATGTCAACATGCCTGAGCAATGACTGGGGTGGGCACTTGGCCAGCATGAAGGAAGAACCTGGAAAGGAGAGCTGCATGGATCGACCTGGTTTCCACTCCTGTCCCTCTCACTTCCTGGCTATGTGACCTTAGGCAAGTTGTCTAATCTCTGAGCCTCAACTTCATCTGTGAAATGGGGACAATAGAGTATCAGGGGCTCTAAAAAGTTCATGGAAAAATGGAATCAAAAGACAATGAAAATTTCCCACAAACTTTTTTGAAGACCCTTCATGTATGTCTTACAGGGTTCTGTGATAATTAAAAGGGGATATTACATGCAAAAATGCTAGCATTGCATACATGGTAAATTCTTGTTAAATGTATAATCTTGGCACTATTACTTATTTGTGCCTTAATTTCTTGCATATAAAATGGACTAGTATTAGTATCAATTTCATGAAGCTATTTCTGGGGTTAAATAAGTGAGCCATATAGAGTTCTTATTAGAAGGCTGTTGTTAAGTGCCGTCGAGTCAGTTCCGACTCATAGTGACCATGTATAGGGTTTCTGAGTAGCAACTGGTGGGTTTGAAGCACCAACCTTGTGGTTACCAGTCCAGTGCTTATCCTACAGTGCTATACCAGGACTCCTAGGATGATGTTGTTAAGTGTTGTCGACTCGATTCTGACCCATAGTGACCTTGTATAGGGTTTCCTATGAGTGTCTGGTGAGCTTGAACTGCCAACTTTGCAGTCTAGCACATTAACCCACTGCACCACACCAGGACAGGCCTGAAGCAAAATGTTCTCTATCACATGCAATTTCAGTAACTATGGCAACAGCAACCACCTTGGTGGGACCTCCACTGTCACATCTGAGGGGTGGGGCTATAGATATGGAAAGAGGAATTGTCCAGGTGGAATTCAAGGACAGACAGCTCTGCTCCAGCCTGGGGTAGGGCAGTACTCTCCTACCTGGCTCCCACATCGCCTGTGTTCAGCATGAGGATACGACGTGTGGATTGTGTCCGATAGACAACCGGTCCAAAGGGAAGATGCTCCTGGTCCAGGGAGATCTCCAGGGCCTGGCAGCAGCCGCTGAGAAGAAACAGGGGACGCAGGAGTCCCATGCATTCCATGAACACCTCCTCGGAGAAGGGAGGGACACGCTTCTTTGGGGAGAAGACCACATCCAGCTTAATGACTTCTTTGGGCTTCAGGCTGATGTTGTTGAAAGGCGTGATGGTGATCACCTGAGCAGAATGACAGACAACTAGACTCGGAGGTTGAGAGAAGGGAGGTCTCAGAGGCCTTGCCTCTCAGAAGTCTTGCTGCTACCACAACCCTGGGGTAAAATTCACGTCTTCTCTCTTATCAGTTGTGCAGTAGTGGGGAAGCACCTAAGGCTTTCTGAGCCTGTTTCCACATCTACACACTCAGGATAATACTAAAGACTTACCCTCTGGTGATAATTAAGATCATCTATCCTGGTGTGGCACTGTGGGTTAATATGCTGGACTGCAAAGTTGGTTTGAACTATAAGGTCGGTGGTTCAAGCTCACCAGCTGCTCTTCTGAAACCCTATACAGGTTGTTATGGGTCAGAACCTACTCATCAGCACTTAACAACAACAACAATATGAAATGTGTGGGACACAGTGTTGTTGTTGTGGTCAAGTGCTGTGGAGTCGGTTCTGGCTCATAGCAACCTTGTATAGGATTTCTCAGGAGCAGCTAGTGGGTTTGAAGTGCCAACCTTGTAGTTAGCAGTCTAGTGCTTATTGTAAAACACCATACCAGGACTCTGTGGGACACAACAAATACCTGATAAATGCCTTAGCCCTTTTCACTCCTTTTCTAGCCTATTTTGGTCAGCTAGATGTGTCTAGGAGTCCTTGGAAACCCTACACAGGGTCACTATGAGTTGAAACTAACTCGACGGCATTTAACAGCAACAACAGATGTCTCTTACACTCATACTATGAGCGTTTTCTTCTTCCTTCCTACTCCCTTGGGGAAGGAATAGTAACTGTGACTAGAAAACAGTAAGCACCCCTTGTTTCTCAAGACATGGTTCCCAGCTACCTGCAGCAGACTTCCCCATGCCTGTCAAAATACAGATTCCTGGGCCCTACCCCAAGCCAAATGAATCAGGATTTCCTTGGGAGAGCTGGGAACCTGTATTTTCAACAGTGCCTCGAGTGACTCATGCACTCTAAAGTCTGAGAACCACAGCTTGAATTTCTATGTCCCTGGAAAAATCAAATCAAAACAAAATGCCAGGAAACCAACACTCTCTTTATCCTTAGCCTCTTTGGCTCAGAGCATGGAGTGGTCAACATCTTGACAACATTGTTTTGCTTCTTCTGGAATCCTGATTTCTAGGTTCATGGAATTGGAGTGACCCAGCCCTTAGAAGGCTTTTTGAACTTTGCAGGAATGGGTTCCTTGGAGTTCCTCAGGTCAAACAGTAGCCTAGTAAGCACTGTGGCAGAGACTGTTTGACCTTAGGCATTGGGCTTTTTGGGAAAGTATCCCTGTACAGCCAACTTTGAGAAGCAGGAACTCCAAGGTCTGACTAACTGTGTTTCAGGATGTGTAGCGTGTCCTTGGTGGCAGTTTCTGTAATGGATGGACCCTGAACTCCCACTTGTGCTTGGATGGGATCTCCTAAGAAATGAACATCACAATGATCTATGGAAGCATATCCCTTCGGACAGCCTTCCTGATATGGGCTGACAGTACTGTATCTGAATTGTATTTACTCACAATAAATATGCCCAGTGACATTGTCATATTTCTCCAAGCAGTTAGGTAGCAACAGGAAGTGATGTAATGAACTGAGATGCTGAAATGGGAAAGTGATCTTAAAGACTTCTCCAATGTAATGATGTTGGAAGCTAACCTTAAGGTGATCGTACCGGCAACTTTAATCTGACCACCTAAAGAAGTAACATTGGGGTGGTCAGTCTGGGTGTTGAGGACTTACATTTGGTTTAATGATGATAGAGGAGTGACTAGTTTGCTTTCCTTCGCTAGGTGGTCAAGTGGGTAATGTGGGCCCTGAGATATGGTGTCCCCCTGAGTTTCTGGCTTTGATTAGCTTTTTGAAGCCAGCTCTGTATTCTGAAATCCCCAGGCAGTCTACAGTGTCCCTGCCACACTGAACCACATCAAGTTTTCCATAAGCACCAGCCCTTTCTGAGTCTACAGACCTTTACCTGGAAGGAACGCCCTTCCAAACCTGTCTACTTAGGTGATGGCTGAATCCCGTAAACCCCTGTGCAGGCTTCTCTGTACCCGGAGCCCTTCCACTTGCCCCTGTGCTCTTCTTCCAGATTCATGCTTGCCTCATCCATCCACACCCGGACTATCCTTTTTTTTTAATGGGTTGCTATCTCTTTTTTTAAATTATGAATTGCATGAAGGTTTATGGACAAGTTCATGAGTTTTACATTCAACAAATCCTATGTTTTGCTGCATCTCAATGAATGCAATCCCTTCCTTGCAACAACACTCATCCCATTCCATCTCTGTGGCTCCCCATGTACAAATATCCTCTATCAAACTCTTTTATATTTGTGGAATACATGTTATTACGTACTGTAGAGTCAGTTCTGACTCATAGCGACTCTGTATAGGGTTTTCAAAGAGCAGCTGGTGAATTGAATTGCCAACTATGTGGTTCAAACCGACCTTGTGGTCCAGTGCTTAGCCTACAGAGCCACACCACTCTTTCTCCCTTACCATTCAGCCTGTGTGGCTGTCCATAAATCTACACAAAGAATACTGCTGTTCCACGGTTGTGTATATATCACTATTTACTTCTATCCCTTTTAGCCCTTGTATACCTCCCTGTCTCTTCACTTGTCTTCATCATTCTTCTGCCACTCTTCCCTATATTGCCCTCCCCCCTCCCATCACCTGAGTTACCATGTGTTTAACCTCTAGCAAGTGATTTACTTTCCCTTCCCTCCTACCCCTGGTAACCATAAAAGAATGTTTCTTTTAGTGTGAAAGCCTTTTTTGAGTTTTTACAATAATAGTCTCACACACTATTTGTCCTTTTGTGATTGACTTATTTCACTCAGCACAGTGTCCTCCAGGTTCATCCATGTTTCCTTGTATATAAAGTGAGAATCATGAAAGCACAAACTCATACCATTTGTTTTTCAGATCATCATTATTCTCCAATGTTGCATAGTATTTCATTGTGTGTGACAATACTGTTTCTAGCATTTAAAAGAAAACACCTGATATGGCCAGAGACTGAGACCTAATCTATCTCCAGAATGGAGCTGTAATGGAATAGAGGATATTTGACAATATGGAGAATGTTTATGGAATATTGTTAGATTACAAAATCAGTTTTTGAAATAATCCAGACATTATAATTTTATTTTTGTAAAAACAGAAAAGGGCATAGGAAAAATACTGGTAAAATAGACCCAAAATGTTACAGTGGTTTTTCTGGGTCTGTGATTAAGGGCAAGTTTTTTCTTCATGATTTTCTATATTGTTCACATTTTCTACAATAAGGATATACATTTAGTGGAATCTAGATCTGCTGAATCCTGCCCAAGCCAGTTCGCTTTCTCCTTCTTTTTACTACGTTTTAGAAGTACATGATCTCTGGAAGGCTTAGTTTCCTTATATATAAAATGAGAATCATGAAAGTGCTAACCCCATAGCATTTTTTTGTGAAGATTTAAGTCCTGGTGTAGCACTGTAGGATAAGCACTGACTGCTAATCTCAAGGTTGGAGGTTCAAACCCACCAGCTACTCCTCACAAACCCTATACAGGGTCACTATAGATTGGAACCAACTCAACACTTCACAACAGCAGTAGACAGAGAGCTCATGTCAAGGTGACATCCAGCATGAGTGTGAGTTTCTAGCCCTGCCATCCTTGTCATGGGGAAGCATAAAGAGGTCCTTGGGACTCTAAGCACTGACCTTGGGTTCCTGGAGTTCTGGAGTTGAGAACAGAATCGATTGGTTAAACGTAAGCAAGGTGTTGCTGTTGTTCATAATGGAAACTGATTTTTTGACAACTTGTCCTGGCAGAACAGCTCCCAACTTCACAATCCTATTGGCTGGATCTAGTACTAAAATCTGTGGGACATGAAAAAGAGTAGGAAAGGAGGACTAGTTAGCTCATGAGAAAAATGCATATTGGGATATGGTTTGGCAAGGAAGAGTGATCCCTCTCTTTTGGTGCCTGCTGTTCATTGAGAGTCGAATTTGCCTCCTGGTGACCCCAATGTGTGACAGAGGAGAACTGCTTCATAAGGTCTCTAAAGGCTGGGCTTTCAGAAGCAGTTTGCCAGGCCTGGCTGCCTTTTTCATATTGGATAGGCATTCACTTACTCAATAAACATTTCTGTATACAGAGCACCCACTAGATGATTTGACACACAACTAAATAATTACAACTAGGTTTAGCAATAGGAAGGAAAATCCCAGGGTACTCTGAGAGCACGTTGCAGAAGACTGAAGTAAGAGGAGGCCTCCCTGAGGAAGCCCTGTTTACACTGATTGCCAAGGAAGGGCTGACTCGAGTTAGTTGAAGAGTCAGGGTGGCCCTGGCATGGAGGAGCATTCAGGGAGAAGAACAGCCTGTGGCAAGGCCCTGAGCTAGGAGTGGCCCAGTCAAGGCCTGTGACTGGGAACTAGACAGAGACAGAAGGTGAGCTTGGAAAGGTGGGAAGTGGCCATTCTTGAAAGGTCTTATAGGTCATTGGGGGTGGGGCAGCTGGGCTTTATTCTGGAAGAACTGGGGAGTCAGTGAAGCTTTAGTGACCCAGTGAAATGTGTACTTTGTGGGAGTGCTCTGGCTTGCTCCTCTATAGAGGACATGAAGAGGCCAGAGAGAAAGCCATGAGGTAGTGACAGTGAATTGGAACGGTGGCTGTAGAAGTAGAGAGAACTAGATGCATCTCAAGTCCTCATCTAAGGCACTGATTTAAATGTTGGCCTGGATCAGACCTAGGTCAAGCTATACCTTGACTTTAGGTTGATACTGACCTACAATGAGAGTTGCTATAGGTCTCTAAACTGCACCTCCTCTACCCCACTATCTTTAAATCCATTTGGTCTAAAGAAGCAAGAGAATCTCTCCAGTCAGCATATGAGTTGGTGAACACATATTTAAGATACTATTGGATCTCCCCAAAGTACCTAAAACTCAACAAGTATTGAATAAATGAATGAAAGCTATCAGGAAAGATCCTGCCTCTGGCTTGGGCCCAGAAACCCCTGTGCTCTACCAACTCCCTTGATGGGAAGATTGCTGGAATCCAACCCTGCCTCCCATGTTCTCTTGGTTGCTGAAATGTCCTATCCATTCCTGAGCATCTTGGAAGGTTTTTGGATCTTCTCAACACCCCATTAGAATGAAGACACCACCAGCAAAGGTGACTCTTGGAAAGAAAGGGATTAGCAGCAGGACTGTCCCACTCCCTCCCTCTCAGGAGCTTCTGGGAGAAGGAACAGCCTTAATCAAATATAATCCCAGCATTGGTTGCTGGCTGGAGAATGTTACTCAGTGGGGTGTAAAGCAAAGATGTTCTAAAACGGGAAAATTTATCTCTGCATACGTTGCTTAAAACAAAATGTGCCCTAATGTGGGAGTAAAGGTTGTTCTTGGGATGCTGCATCAGATGACTTCAGACTCTTCCAAGGAACAAACTGTTTCCCAGTGCCTGCAATTACCTGTAGCTCTAGAATTATTAGTCAGGTCTGCCATTGGATAAGGTCTCTGGTTCCCTTGAGTCTGATTTGACAATGCAGAAGGACTGGTTGGCCTTTAGTTGAGCAGCCTGGGGGCAGATGTGCTGAGGGGAGAAGATTGGCTGGAAGGGCAGGAAGAAAGTACGAAGCCCGAGGACCTCCCTGACTGCCCCTTACCTTCATTTCCGTGCCTTTCCCTTTAATTTCAATGATTTGTTGTGAAAGCCCATTTATTTCAAAGGGGATGAGTTCTCGATAACTGATACTTTCTCGAGGATAGAAGACAATTGGAATCATCAGTGTGTTTCCTGGCTTTATCACATCAACACGGAAGTTCACCTCGAGATGGCTGGTGTTTGTGTACAAACAATCTATACTGGAGAAAATCAAGAAGAAGGGGCATGAGCTCTGAGGAGGCCGACTCAGAAGGAACTGATTCCTTCCCCTTGCTTCTTGGTCAGGACTGGGACTGGGTGGACAGCCTGCTCAGTCTGCCGGAGTCATGGGATTTAAGAGCTGGAAGAGACTTCAGGAATCACCCACCCTTCCCCTTGGTGTTGTTGTTAGGCGCCAATGAGTCCATAGCAACTCATAGCGACCCTGTGCACAACAGAACGAAGCACTGCTTGGTCCTGTACCAGCCTCATAATCGTTGCTACATTTGAGCCCATTGCTGCCGCCACTGTGTCAATCCAGCTCATTGGGGGGCTTCCTCTTTTCTCTGACCCTCTGTTTTACCAAACAGGATATCCTTCTTCAAGGACTCATCCCTCCTGGTCCCTTTCCCTAGGCACAAATTACCCCAGATCACATTCTGAGATCCTGGCAGGTCAGACCTCAAATCAAAGTCCCATGAGCCTTTGCCATACGTGCTTTTCATTCTATTGATCCTCTCTTTGACAATGCAGCTCATCGTTTGTACCCTTTCCTAGGAGGAAGTGCTTACAGAAGTAATAGATGGAAAAACATGGTAGAGATTAGACAGAAGTTTGATCCAGGCGCTACCACTAACTAGTTATGTGAACCAGGACAAATTACTTAGCCCATTTTGGCTTATGTTTTCTCATCTGTAAAATAGATATAGTGGCAGCTACCTTATAAGCTTGTTGTGAGGATTAAATGAGATACAATGATTAGAGCAGTCATTAAACAGGGCACCCATGTGTGGCACTGTAGGATAAGCACTGAACTGGAAACTGCAAGGTCAGCATTTCAAACCCATCAACCACTCTTGAAAACCCTATATAGGACTGCTATGCTTTGGAATCGACTCAACACCACACCACCACCACAACAACAATAAATAGTACACAGAGGAGACAGTCCATAAAGGTGAGCTCTTATTATTAGGGTCACCAATGCTTAACTAGAAGGGATCTTGAAAGATCACCTCCACCCTGTTCCACCCATGGGCAGAAGGTACCGAGACATCTCTGTTACAACCTTCCTGATTTTTCTTATAGATAGAGAAGGAGTACACATATACCAATGAATAGAAACCAACACCTCAAACAGTCAGACTTGAGTAAATTAAATTCTGCAAGAGTATTATATGTCTAGATAGATGATATTTGAAATTAGTATTTGAAAATTTCTAGATTCAGCATAAAACAATGATAATAACAACAGGAGTGAAAATAACGAGTATTCCCTAAGTACTCTCTCCAGAATATGGGTGGGGAACCGCTTCTCTGCCAAAATTTATAACATCATTTGTGGGTTGTACAAAATAATCAACTTCAAAATTAGCCCACTATATTTTGTCAAAAATTTAATTAACTCACCCCTAGGGAGTGATCAAGAGCCAATGATACTGAAGGAGGAAGTCCAAGGTGCACTGAAGGAATTGGCAAAGAACAAGGTACCAGGAATTGATG